GAATTACTAGATGTGGACTAGAAAATTCTGTAATACGAACGGTAACTGAAATTTACGTGGGCGTATTAGCTTCATACTGTACGTTTATCTGAATTATAATTTTATGTATTTGTCCCGTATGCCGCTTTTATTTTCCAGCGAATGGATATTGATCGTCGCCGTCAGGAAGCTGCCGAATATCGCCGCAAACCCCGGTTAATTGAAGATAGCGAAATTCCAGAGAGTATCGTGAAGGCCTCGCAACATTTTATTAACGAAGAAAAGGAGTCGCAAAAAGAAAAATTCGCATTCGAATCGATTGGACGTCGCAAACGCAAAGAAGTTGACTATTCACAGGTAATCAATTTTTTAAGACTATTGCAATTCGAGAATCTGCCATTTGCCATAACGGTGCAGTACCGTTTGCACTCCAAAAGCCTGACAAGGTGGCAAACTAGTTCGATTACACGGCTGTTTAAGCGCTTGAAATGATGGATCTTGCAATAGCCTGGATAGCCATATACCATTTTTTTTTGACAATGATTTTTTAGAAGTGGATTGAATATTTTTTGAAAAAATTTTTAAATTCGGGATCGTTATTTTGCCATTTGAGGATTTGATGTCTGATCGCGATTGGCTGAGGAGTATCGATGAAGATGTTGAGGATGATGACGATGACGAAGCGGAATCAAGGAAGAAGAGGCGAGGCAGGAAAGAGAGGGGAAAAAAGCGACGCTATATTGGTAGGTTTTTTTAATGTTGTTCGTTATTCTACAATTTTTTACAGTTAATTGTGTTTGACGACTTTTTTTTGCCTACAGGTGATGACGATGATGAGCCTCCGAAACGTAAGCGAGCTTCACCGGAAATAACTTCAGTACTCAACAAACTTCATGAAGCCCTAATCACTTTCAAAACAAGGTATGATGCCTTCATTGGTCTCTGATCTGATGGCGTCATTCATTAATAACACAGTTTCTTGCTCTCTTCCCATATAAATTACGAATAATTTCAGTAGTGGCAAGCAGCTGGCAGGTGCATTTGAGCAGCTCCCATCCCGAAGAGAATTGCCCGATTATTATGAAATTATTGAGAAACCAATGGATCTCAATAAAGTGAAACGAAAAATCCGTGATGGCAAATATCGTAGTGTACAGGATATGGGAAATGATATTAGACTTCTGTGTGCTAATGCAAGAGTAAGCTTCTTGCTTTTTTTATCGGTTTTTTTGTTTTTTTTTTCTTTATGTTTGTTTTTCACATTCAATTTCTGTTCAGAAATACAATATTGATGGTTC